ATCTAACCTACGACGCGACCAGACCGAGGCAAGCCCCAGGCTTCACCCTCAGCCTAATGTACAGTCCACTGAGAATCTGCAGGTTTCATTACATATGTATCAGAATGTACATTGCTTGTTGAGATTCTACTTGCACTGCATTGTCCATTCAGTGCTTTTTATCACATTGCGGATCCTCGGTTTTATATGTACATCGCCCAACTGGGCATGTAACAGTTGGTATCGGAACACCGCACGTGAATCAGGTCAACCTGATTTGACACGTGTGCGGGGACTAGGTAGCTGATTAGCCCTCAAAACCACGATTTTGACCTCACTGCCGAAAATCATTTTTTTCTCTTTTCTTGGATTTTGTTTTCCTGCTATTTTTGTGGTGGAAAATCGCAATAGCGCAACACATGAAATTTTCGTTTTCGTTTTTCTGCTGAAAATTCGAAATTTCGTTGTTGGAAATCCGGAATATCTTGTTTTCGAAAATTTCGATTTCCTTGCAATTTCCCGTTATTTGGAAATCCGGAATATTTTTTCCTGAAATTCGTTTTTCTGAAAACGATACGGGAAATAACTCTTGAGTTATCATTTTCCAAACTGCCCGTACTCTCATCTGAGGAATTCCGAATATCTGTTTGCAGTTCTTTTCAGAATTCTTATCGGACACTCATCTGCAGTTAGAAGGTTCGAAAATTTTTCTCATTCATAATTTCGCACTTCAGGGGGAATTGGGAGGCCTACTAAACTTGCAAACAAGTAGTTTTTCTTTTTCTCATTTTTTTTTCCCGCAGAGTTCAAACTTTTCTTTTTTGATTAGTGGGTCCTTATCTGGTCGATTTATCTCACCCACCCCTCCCCACCTACGTTGTTGCACCCTCTGATCTTCTCTATCTGTCTCTGGGTACCCCTGCGGCGGGATTGGTGAGTTGCCACGTCATCAGGCCACGTCAGCAGGCCACGTCAGCAGGCCACGTCAGCAGGCCATGTCAGCCGACAGCAGTGCCACGTCAGCAGCAGGGAGTACCACGTCAGCAGCAGGGAGTACCACGTCAGGAGGCCCCCGGCCTGGTCTATGCTCTTGCACTCGCAAACAGCCGTCATGGACCAAATGGAGGAGGCCTATCAAGCCTGGATGCTGCTTCTGATTACCGAAGCCAAGCAACGGTCGGATGCAGTAGCAGCCGCAGCAAAGAAGAAGGCAGAGCACGCCGAGAAGGCACGTCTGTTGGCAATTGAACAGCAGCGCCAACAAGACGAGGCAGCAGCAAAGGATGCCGATGAAGAACGACTTCAACAACGCGAGAAGATATTCAGCGGAGAGCGAACTTTGTTCACAATGGTAGCAGACTGGCGGGCCGAGGCTGAGAATGGGAAGCTGGAAGAGAGTGGAAACAAGATCGCTCTACTCCTCTCCCATCTCACGGACCTCCTGGCCACGTGCATTGCACAGCAGGAGGACATTCACAACCTTGACAACGCGGTTCAGACACACAATCAGGTGTTTGACCAACTCACCAGCCGCCTCCAACAGCTGGAACAAACCGTCGCCGCCCCCGTTGCCAGCTCTTCCAACACCTCCAATCGCCTCGAGGCATTGGAGATTGATGTCGGATCCCTCAAGGACGGCGTGCAGTTACAGCAAAACGCCACGCAACAGTTGGAGCAGCGGATCTGTACTGCCGCCACTCACCCGAGATCAAAACCGCGCGAGACAACTCCAAAGTTCGATGATCAGGAGATCTTCTGCGATTCGACGAAGACGGACCCGATTCCGTGGTTCCGTAAGTTCGAACTCAAGTTGCAGCTACACTACGTCAGCGAGCACAAGCATCACGCGTACTTATACTCCTGCTCAGGGGTGCATGCCTGGACAATCTCCTGTCCAAGTACGGAGTGGTGGCTACCGACTTCCATACCAAGATCAGTTGGGATGATCTAAAGGCGGCGTGGCATAAGCGATTCCAAGTAGAGCCGGCAGAGATCAAGGCAATGGACAAGCTGATGGTCTTCGAACAAGGCATGCTGCCGAGTGTTGATTGGATTGCCAAGTACCAACGCTTGACATCCGTCCCAGACATTCAAATGGGCTTCAAAGCCATCAAACACTACTTCATCTCGAGGTCGTGTCCGGGCAATGCCTTGACTCACGTCGAGGACACCCTGACGACACCGGCGGAGCTCTTTGACAAGGCCGCGCAGATTATTGTCACGAACGAGGAGGCTAAGAACCTCCACCGTTCGTCTTCGACAGGCCCGAGCAGAGATCAGCATCGGTCGAAAGTGGCCGTGGTCGCGGCGATAACTCCAATCGACCAAACTAGCGAGGCCATGTCTACCAATGAAGGGGACAGACTCGCAGCCGCCCGGGATGGTGGCCGCCCCGGCAAAGGCCGAGGACGCGGCAAGACGAAGACAAACACCGCATCTAGCCCTGGGCCCGACGCAACAGCTCCAGCCCCATGGTCCCAATACGGTCTCTCCGAGCAAGCATACAAGGCACACACGAGATTTCGTTATTGTCTGTGGTGTAACAACGATCTCCACGAGACAATAGGCTGCCCGTCGAAAGGCAAAGGCAAATCGGGAAACTGAGCACCCCCGGGAGTGACTCGACGACACTCTCGACGCATTCGAAACCGGTTGCTTCGTGGGTGACCGCCCTTCGTTCCGAGTCACATGCGGACGTCGATAGTCCTCCTCTTCTATTTTCTTATGAGGACTATGCTGCCCGGCTCGTTCCTACGCTGGGTACTCATGCTCAAGGACAAGATGTGTGGGCGGCATCTTTTCCGTCCGGCAACGATGACTTATCGTCTTCAAGTGGTTCTTCACGGGATTCGGCGCGCGAGTTCAACATAGAGGTATTGGAACCGTTCACGTCCGAGGATTTCGCATGGCTTCCTCTTCCCACCATGGGCTGCTTGCCGGGACCGCAATGCGTAGCATTATGTGCTCGTCTTCACACGTACTTATCCTTCTATTCACCACCAACTTCGCCGACGGATGACGAAGTCGCGGTGGGGGACATCCTTGCGTATGTTACCAGCGTGGCCCGCGAGTTTCGCAAGCAGGGATACGATGACAACAACACACCGCTCCTCTATGTCCGCATCCAAGTTGGGCAAGCGTCCTGCAGCGCTTTGCTGGATAGCGGCGTGTCTCGCAACTTCATGAGCCAAGTCTTTATGCAAAGGGTTGGCCTTGGCACACAAGTTCGAAGGCAGGCAAACCCGACGGCGATCAAGTTGGCGGACAGAAGGACGCAGCAACTTATCGACCGGTACATCGAGGCCGTACCTGTGTATTTCGCACCTCATGCATGCGAACCGGTGACGTTCGACATTTTGGACATGGACTTCGACATTATTTTGGGAATGCCTTAGCTTGCAAGTGCGGATCACACRGTCAACTTCCACCGGCGGACTCTTACCGTCCGCGACGCTTTCAGCGYMGAAGTGTYGTGTACTATTCCTCTTCCKCACCCTTCGATCCGATGCCAAGTGSTGACGGCCAARTCATTCCGGGYTACTTGTGCTTACGAGCAGCCCGACGAAATYGGCCTATGTTTCCTATGGATCGTCGCTGTAGTTGACTCTTCACCCATGGACTTGTCTTCGGACCCCCGTGTGGTGCGGTTGCTTGACGAGTGTGCCGACATCTTCCAGTCACCTACCGGTGTGGTGCCGCATCGGCCGATCTCTCACGAGATCATTCTTGAGGCCAGTGTCGTGCCGCCGAAAGGTTGCATTTATCGCATGAGCGAGGAACTTACGGTCCTCCGTGCGCAACTCGATGACTTGTTGGACAAGGGTTGGATCCGCCCTAGTAGCTCCCATATGGAGCGCTAGTTCTCTTCGTACGGAAGAAGAACAAGGATCTACGATTGTGCATTGACTTCGCGAGCGCTTTTGGCGGTCCGGCCTTCTCGGGGACGTCACACACTATTGCGAGTCGTGCGAGGTTTGCCGACGCTGCAACTCCCGCAACCATCATCTGTACGGCGAGTTGCGACCATTACCGGTCCCCTTGTGCCGAAGGGAAGCGATTACCATGAACATTACCGGGCTGTTCCTCAAGCACAAGACCGGTGTGGATGGGATTCTTATGGCGGTCGACCGACTCACCAAGTTCGCCATGTTTTTGCATTGCCACTATCATACCAAGGCACCGGAATTGGTCGAGGTTCTTTCCACCGGTTGGATTCGAACCAAGGGTTACCCCAAGGAAATCGTCCGCAACCGCGACCCTCGGTTTCATCAAATGATGGGGCTCATCTATCAAGCCAAGTTTGGCTCGCCTACTTGGTACACACACTTTCCATACTGCACCCCGAATGCAAGATGCAAGGCAAGCCGGTATCTTTGGCTCCATGTCGCACCCACGTCCAGGTTCCACCTTCAGATCGTCAGCTTCGTCCTCGACCCGGCTTGGCTTCATAAGGAGGGGGGCGTGTTACATGTTGCGCGGGCCATTTTCAGGCCCGTGTTGTTTTCAGCCTGAAAGCCTGAAAACAAGAGCCTACAGGCCCTATGTTGTTTTCAGTCCGAAAGCCTGAAAACAAGGGCCTACAGGCGCCGTGTTGTTTTCAGCCTGAAAGCCTGAAAACAAGGGCCTACAGGCCCTGTGTCGTTTCAGCCTAAATCAAGGCCTTTCCGGCCCTGAGTCTTTTTAGCCTGAAACTGAGGGCCATTTTCAGGCCCTCATAAGATCGACCTGCCTTGAAACTCAGGCACCAAATCAGGGTTTTAGCTCAGGCCATTTTTGACCTATTTTCAAGACAATCTTTGTTTGAGCTTCAACCCCAGGGTCTGGCACGTCTTGGCATTGGCGAGAGCAGCGTCCTGGACGGGCCAGCACTATATAAGATTGGCCCGCCCTGCAGGCTGCAGGTAGTTGCTAGGTAGTTCCTAGGTACTTCCCAGGCACTTCACGTGCAGTTCAGGAGGCAGGAGGTAGTCTTCAGAATTCGGCAGCAGCACTCTGGAGGAGCGCTGCAGGAGTAGTAGTAGCATTAGCAATGGTCTTCAGCGCTGGGCGCCAGAGGAGCTAGAGCAGTACTAGAGAGAGAGATTGGGCGGAGGCCAGGAAGACTTACCTGCAGCGCCATAGCTCCAGCTTCGTCTTCGAGGTACCTGCAGCACAATGCCAACTTCACAGGTTAGTACCTGGCATGTAAGAGAGATAGATAGATAGATAGATAGATAGATAGATAGATAGATAGATAGATAGAGAGAGAGAGAGAGAGAGAGAGAGAGAGAGAGAGAGAGAG